TCCAAGATCCCCTCAAAAGAGAATCCCCCTTTTTCCCCCCTACTTGCAGTACCTCTCTGCTTCTTTTGGCTTTTCCTAGTCAACCATCTTGATGTCCCCCAAAACCCATCATTCCTCAGGGACCCCCCGAGTGTACACATGCTCCACCTTCCCATCCATCCAGGAGGCAGGCAGGCAGGCAGCTCTTCAAACTTGGCCTCTTTAAGATTTGCGGACTTCAACAAACCTGGTTATTTTTAACCAACATTGGTGGTGGTGGGGTTTTGTGCGCATGCGCACGTGAGCAGCCTGGCATCCGATGCAGATCCAGTCCGTTTGATTCTTTGATGGTGCAGAAGACCCAGAAAAGAAGCAATCCAGGTTAATTTTGTTGCATGCAGGATTGATGTTTCTTTGTGCAAACCACCAATGGCTGGTTTTACTGAGGGTTTTTTTTGGGGGGGGGGGGGTTGAAGGCATCTCATCTCAAAAGCAACAACAACCACAGCGACAACAAGACCGTGCCGTGGTGGGAGGAGTTGTTTACTCTCCCAAAACTTGGAAAGATGGTTGATTCACCCGTTCCTTGCTCTCTGCTCCCACGGCTTTGTGAAAAGGGCTCTCTCTTGTGTGGGCAGGACCTGTCGTTTCCGTATTAATTCAGTCCCCCCCCCTCTAAAACAGGGGTGGGAAATGTTGCCCCTTTTATGACTTGTGGACTTCAAATCCCAGAACTCCTGAGTTTAAAGTCCCCAAGCTATAAAAGGGCCAAGGTTCCCGGCCCCCCCACTGTAAAACACGATGGACCCGCTGGTTTAGATGTTAGATGTGGAGACTCTACAAAGAGTGCAGAGAAGAGCAACAAAGGTGATTAGGGGCCTGGAGGCTAAAACATATGAAGAACGGTTGCTGGAATTGGGTCTCTGTAGTTTAATAAAAAAGGAGGACTAGGGGAGACAGGATAGCAGCATTCCAGTATTTGAGGGGGGGGGGCAAAGAAGAGGGAGTCAAGCTATTCTCCAAAGCACCAAAGAAGGCGGGACGAGAAGCAACGGATGGAAACTAAACAAGGAGAGAAGCAACTTAGAAAAAAGGAGGAATTTCCTGACAGGGAGAACAATTATTCAGTGGAACAATTTGCCTCCAAAAGTTGTGAATGCTCCAACACTGGAAGTTTTTAAAAAGATGCTGGACAACCATTTGTCTGAAATGGTATTGCGGTTCCCTGCTTGAGCAGGGGGTTGGACTAGAAGACCTCCAAGGTCCCTTCCTACTCTGTTATTCTGTTTTGGATGATGGTGGTGGGTAAGGAAACATCTCCCCTGTGGGTCTCCTCGCACGTAAGCTTTGGCCTGGGAGATGTCGCCTCTGCAGCCATTTTGAGAGAAGCAGCAGCCACGTCCCCTCGCCCCAGCCAGTCGGCTTCCTTGAGGAGCACCGAAGAGCTGAGCACTCCCTCAGCACGACGGAGAAACCCCGAGGCCAGGGCAGGCTGGGACGCCAGGAAGCCTCTCCGAACTCCGCCATCCCACCTCGTCTCGGAAGGCTGATGAGGACCTTCCTAGCTAAAAATACCCACCCAAATCCACCTTCCAGGGCCCCTCAACCGAATCATCTGCCCGGCCCTAAACGCCGGCCTCCCTTCCCTACCCCCACAGCCTCTGCAAACACAAACCCCTAGACCCAGAGATCGGGTCCACCACGCTCCTTGGCCAACGGCTGACACTCTCCCTCGGGCCGCCCAGCTGGCAATGATGCCACGCTTGTCTCTGCCCTCCTCCGGCAAGGCCCAGTTGTCCATTGTAGTAAGGAGCTGCCTGGTCTTGATGATGCTTTCCCACATATTCCACACACCGGCGGCACTGGGATTACCAAGCCAAGCCACAATTAATCTGATCATTTGCATCCCTTCCTATTTCGCCCTTCTGGCATGCTCCAGCAACCTTCCCTTTTTTTAAATTAAAGCAAAAACAAAAACGAAACCCCTAACCGGACGCTGAGTTTAAAAAAAATATATATCATAATAATCCCACCCTGTTTTGACCTTCACTCCCTCTGGGTTCAGGGCGGCACACATGCACAGAAGCTCTTTGGAGACCCCAGGCTCACTGACCTCCTAGCTGGGCCGTGAGGCCTGCCTGGCCTTCCGCCTTGCGCATTTCCACCGCCATCCGTTGTCCGTTGCAACACACACACACACACACACAAACACACTCACTCACACACCCCGTTAGGTACTACGAAGACACATCTCGGTGGTGCGTTTCCTCCCTCCCGCCTTCCTGTTGTGCCATCCAATTCACTCCCTTCTTCCTCCCTAAAATCCATATTGGAATGAGCCCAACGCCACCCAGACTGGCCCTCAATCATAAAAGCCAAAACCGAGGCAGGGCCAGCCGGGCACATCACCACCACAGTTTGAGGAAGATCCTCGGTCATTCAGGTCATGGTTGTATCAAAAGCGGTTTTTAATTTTGAAAGGAAACTCGACTCCTTTTAATTTTAATTTTATTTTTTTTGGGTGGAAGAAGAAAATGTTTCGGCTTCCTATCCCGGAAGCTGACGAAGCTACAATGGGGGAGGCTTCTGGGATAGGGACCGAAACGTTTTCTTCTTCCACAAAATAATAATAATAATCAGTCCAGGTGCCCTTTTAAAATAAATACCGCTTTTGATAAGCACGGTCTGCTGAATTAAGCTTCATCGCGTTCTTTATCCACTCTGATGCAGCCTGCCTGGGACGGCCACCCAACCGGGGAATTCCTCCATTTCTGGCCTGTTTTTTTTCCCTCCCCTTTCCTTCCTCAAGTCGATCAATCAGTGAATGAATCAACCGGAATAGAGCTGGAAGGGACCTTGGAGGTCCTCTAGTCCAACCCCCTGCTGAAGCAGGAGAGCCTATCCCAGTTCAGACAAACGGCTGTCCAGTCTCTTCTTAAAACCCTCCAGTGACGGAGACCCTACAACTTCTGGTGGCCAGCTGTTCCACTGGTTAACTGTCCTCCCTGTCAGGAAGTTCCTCCTTAATGCCAGGTTGCTTCTCTCCTGGAATAGTTTCCCTCCGTTGTTTCTTGTCCTGCCTTCTGGGGCTGTGGAGGACAGGTTGACCCCTTCCTCTTCTTTGGGGCAGCCCCTCCAATATGGGAACGCTGCTGTCAAGTCATCCCCTAGTCCTTCTTTTCTCTAGACCGGCCAGACCCAAATCCTGCAACCCTTCTTCTCATGTTTTAGCCTCCAGGCCTGGACAGGAAACCCCCGCTTGGCTATTCAGGCCCTTATTTATTTCCCATCTCTCTGGTCAGAGCGTAATCATCAAAGCAGGACATTTTCCTCCAGGACCCCAAAGCTATTTCTCAGCCGTATTAATTGCTTTCGGCCTTAACGCTGCAGCTCCCAAATGTTAATTGCCTGGCGAGGGTGGTGTCAGCGTTGACTCCCTTGCCTTGCCTGGGCAGCCACGCGTTTCAGTGGGCGCCTCCACAGCCCGGATCATCATTCGAAGCAATAAAACAGACCCAGATGCAATCACGATGTAATCATCATCATCATCATGATAAGAAGGAATCTATTCTTAGCACGAGGGAAGGAACAAATGCACAAAAGCTCTCTGGAAAACCTCATGGAATTGAAGTTGCCCTTCACAGAAGGGTCAGGGAAGGAAGAAGGGAGGGAGGAAGGGAGGGTGGAAGTAGTGGTAGAGATGGAGAAGGAGGAATAATAATGAGTAGAAGATACATATAAACTGATTGCTAAGTGTCTTATTGGGGACAAGGAAGAGAGGGAAGAAGAGGGAAAGAGGGAGGAGGAAGGGAGGAAGGAAGGGAGGAAGGAAGGGAGGGAGGGAGGAAGAGGGAAAAGAGGGGAAGGAAGAATAATAATGAGTAAAAACACACATAAACTGACTGCTAATTGTCCTATTGGGGAGAAGGAGGAGGAGGGGAAGAAAAGGAAGAGGAGGAAGGAAAAAAGGAAGGGAGGAAGAGAGGGAGGGAGGGATTGCTATGTTCCAGATTCCTATTTTCTTCAGACAGCACGAGAATTAAAATCCACAGCTCAAAGCCAATCCTTTTCAAAGCGGTTCCCCCCCCCCCCCCCATTCAAAACAGCAGCAAATAAAAACCAGCACATCCCCCAAAGATCCTTAGCTGGCACAGTCCCTCCTTCCTTGCCCAGAAATCCCTGGGTCACCAGGTCCCTTTCGCATCCTTGTTTTTGTTCACATTTCCACATCCTTCCCCTCTCCATTTCCTCTGCTGCTGCTGCTGCTGCAGAGGGGAGGAGGGCGAGAGGAAGAAGGGACTACTGACAGGTTTTCCACAGTCCCTCTGGGTGCAAAAAAAATAATTAATTATTTTTTTCCCCTCTCTCCTTTCCCTTCCTAAGTAGACAAGCCGACTCCATTTTGACATAGCCAGCTGTGAAGGGCTGAGGTGGACCCAGGGCTGGGAAAACGAAGGGGAAAAAGAGAGGGGTGTGTGTGTGTGGGGGGGTCCTCTTTTGTGTGCATCCACACATCCACACCCCTTTCGAGTCAGGAAAGGCGGAAGGTGGAGGCCCAGATGCTGTCCCCGGAGACAGGCTGGGGAAGGAAGGGAAGGGCCCAATTCACCCAGAGCCTCCCAGGGCCCAAGACAAGGGGGAAAAAATCCCCTTTTGATCCAAGCCAGATTCAGCCTCTGGCTCTGGAGGGGGCAAATTGTGGGTGGGGGTTGGGTCATGAAGGAGGGGTGGGGGGAAAGGCCACACACTGGAAGCTGGGAGAAGAAATCCCCCCCCTCCCAAAAGGTGGGGGGGGGAGAGAAGAGGAAGGACATGAAGGGGTGGGGGAAGAGGAAAGGAGAAAAAATTGGGGTGGGGGAAGGAAAAATAGATCTCTTTGATGCCCGGATAGAGAAAGAGAGCCGGGTCTGCTAGCCCGTTTTTCCCTTTTAAGAGGG